TTTTCTAAAATAGGGAATGCGATTCCCAGATGGGAGAGAAAAATTTTTGAAATTTCGCCCAACCTTTTTGTAGGGTTCGGCCATCCATATGATGGATCTTTCATCCCTTCTGTGGTATCAGAGCCAGGTTCAAATCTTGAACCAAATTAAACCAGATTTGAATTTGCGCAAATGGGCAGAAGGCGTTCTACCCGATTTGCGCAGTTAGTGTTTTTCTGGGGAATTGGTTCCCAGTTTTTGGACGAATGATCTGAAATTAAATATTTATTAATCTGATTTATATTTAGAGTTGTTCTATATATTTTTCTTGGATTTTGGGCTGTTCATATGGTGGAGATCAAATTCTTTTATTGGTGCAAGAAATCTGCGCATCTACTGTTTTATTCTATTCATTCCTAGTCTGTAATTAATTTTATTTATTTTTTATTTTTAGACGGAATGTATAGGAATTCAATATGATGTAATATTAATAAAAAAATTAGGTTTTCTATTTTTATTTCATTCGAAAACGAAGCTGAAAGCGCAAAGGAGAGAATTTAGCAGATTCGGGTTTAGCGATCTGCGATTTGCAGTTTCGGAAACTGCATACTGCAAACTGATCTTTGTTTTGTAGGGTAGTAGCCTTGCGAACAACCCCCTTTTGTTTGATTACTGATTCTTGAATGTCATCTATCAGTTGTTTAATTTCAGATCATCTTGTTGAATTGAATCTTGAATTAAACATCAAACCCTAGACCCATTCGAACTAGATTGGACCAAACTGGTTGGACCGAATCTATGGTTTGATGAGGGCTGTTCTCAGCCCTAAAATTTCCTATATGGGCTGAATGATTGATGGTTAATTGCAAGATGCAAGTCTGCCCACATTTGTAAAACCCAGTTTTAATCTGTTAAAACTGCTTTAGCTCAATTCAACATAAATGCTATATGGGCCGAACTGCTCTTTGCAGTTCAACCCATATACCTAGATGATATTAATTCGTAATATTATGGAATTAAATGGCCTTTATTTATGGGTTTTACAATTATTTAATTGATTGGATCAATTATGGATTTCATGCATGTGATGTATGGATGTGTGATGTGCTACGTTTATGGGCCATAAGCACTTGGCCCATGCTGATTCAATAGTGGCTCTTTCGCACACCAAGGCTGAATGCACATCATTGCCATGGTGTCCTTAAGATCATTGGATGATCTCCCTGCGTGGTGGGCCCCACACCAGCTTCCTCTCCGTGAGGAACCGTGCGAAACCCTAGCCGTTTAGGGCCCATCTAAATTTGGCTTTTTGAAAGTCAGTGGGAACTACTATGGTTTGACCTAAATTAAACTAGGGCGTAATTATTCGTTCCCTCCTGTAAATGTAAGTGCGTGTGATAGGGAGATTCATATGATGAAACTCTCTAAAGGCCTTCCATTAATAGTATGAAGGTTGGCTGTATTGGTGGGTGGAGATGCACCATAAAATTGGGCTATCTATCTGCTAATGCAATTGGCTAGATTGCTTCATAAGATGATAGGGGCATCAAAGACCGATGTGGGAGGGGCCTATCCTAAAATGGAAGACTCTCTCATGGTACCTTGGCGTTCACGAACATGATGGGTGAGCACTTATTGGACAGAAAGGTTTAACCTATGAACCTTGTCTGACAGAGGCCAAAGGGAAAGCTCATAAGATGAGTGGATGAGATCCTTTATAGAAGGTGGTGGAGTTTTGCAGCTGAAACAATTGGCTCCATGCACCCCATGTGGTTTCCCACATTTCCAAAGACACAACTGTCTCCGTCACTGAGATTGGACGGAATCTCAGAGATGCCCAAAATGGAAATGGAACATAGATTAAAAGCCCTTTCTATGTGATGACATGAATCAATTTGGTTGTGGACTTACAAATCTGCCTTGCCTTTACCAGAAATGGCAAACAGAAACTTCACCAAACTGTTGGATGATAACAAACTCAAGGGCCCAAATTATGCTGACCGGTTCCGAAACCTTATGTTGGTTCTAACGTTTGAGAAATTGGACAAAATTGCTAAGAACCCTGCTCCGGATCATCCGGGTGATAGGGCTTCTGAGGCCCGAAGAAGAGAGTATCAAGAATGGGAAGAGAAAAACTCTCTTGCCCGGTGTTATATTATAGTCTCTTTGGACAATCCGATATAGCGACAATTCGATAAGATCGAAGTGTCCAAGGATATATTGGATAGTCTGGAGACTATGTATGAAGAGCAGAACTGTTCTACTCGACAAAATGTTTTAAAATTGTTTATGACCGCATAGATGACCGAGAACCAATATGTTGTCTAAAGATGATGGGTTATTAATGAACTGGAGGCTCTCGGGTCAGGGCTAGATCATGACACCAAAATTAATGCTTTCCTCGATTCCTTACCTCCGTCCTTCAATCAGTTTATCATGAATTACAACATGAATAAGCTAAACGTTAGCCTTCAGGAACTCAACAATATGTTGCTGAGGGCTGAAGAGCTGATTAAAAAGGATAAGTTGATAGCCATGCTTGTTGAAGGTGGCAAATCGGGCAAGAAAAAGTGGAAAGCTAAAAGAAAGGCTCAGAAGAAGGGTAGCAAACCTAGAAAGCAGAAGAAAGATAAGGCATCAGATGCCTGCCACTTCTGCAAACAGACTGGCCACTGGAAGAGGAATTGTCCTCAATATCTGGAGACTAAGAAGCAAGGTAATTTCGAATCTTTTACCATAGAGACCAATTTGTTGGTCACTTCTGCTTCTTGGTGTATTGACTCCGGGGCTTCAACTCATGCGTGTAACTCACTGTAGGGGTTCAAAATAAGTAGAAGATTGAGTGACGGAGAAGTGACTTTCTACTTGGGGACTTCTGCAACAGTTGCAACTACAACCATAGGAACTGTAGAACTAGTTTTCAGAGAATGAACAATTGTACTTAAAGATTGTCTTTTCGTACCTAATTTAAGAAGAAATTTGATTTCTGTCTCAAAATTGTGCATGGATGGTTATTCTATCTTATTCAGTAATGTGATTACTATTAAACGGAATAACAAATTCCTCACATACGGAGAACTTGAGAACGGTCTCTATGTTCTCCATCCTTCCCTGGAAATAAACATTACCGAAACTACATCGTAAATAATCCCCAAGAAGAGGACTCGTGATACAGTTAATCCCATGTGCCTGTGGCATTACCGACTTGGCCACATTAATATAGATCGTATCACAAGGTTAGTAAATGATGGTCCTTTGGATTTTCTAATTGTAGAAGATCTTCCAACCTGTGAACCTTGCCTTCAAGGTAAGATGATGAAGTGACCATTTACCGGTAAGCTTGAAAGATCTACAGGCACACTTGACCTTATACATACTGATGTATGTGGTCGCCTGAATGTTAGGAAACGTAACTAGCACGTTTATTTTATAACATTTACTGATGATTATTCACGGTATGGTTACGTGTAGCTAATGAGACATAAGTCTGAATCTTTTGAAAAGTTCAAAGAATTCAGACAAGAAGTCGAGAAACAGTTAGGGAGAGAAATTAAGATCCTTCGATCAGTACTGCACTAGGTGTCGGATCGAGCTATCTTTGATACGCCAATCAGTGAGATCCCTAGAGGGGGTCAAAACCTGGGTATGTTGGGACAGTTCGAGAATTCATCTGAGTGGGTGATYATAGTGACAGGATCARCCCCTTTGTCGGACAAAGTGAATGATCGGGGATGCACTCTCTCTGATGAAAACCTAAACTACCAGCAGTTGATTTCAACTGTTGAAATTTGTTTTTTGCAATATATATATATATATTATGGTTTCAAAATGTTTGCAAAATGTTTTAATTCCCAGGATCCGTGTGAGTAGAGAGTGCAACACTGTTCCTTGCAGTCGAGGGAGAGGTCCTCTCTTGTCGGGTAGTGTTTGATCATTATGGGTTGAGAGGTTAAGTGTAAGACCATTGAGGGTAATATCTGATGGGCTAATCTTGCATCTGTCCACAGTCCTTGGGTTTTCATAAGGTGGCTGGACCCAATGACCATTTAGTGTAAATGTTGGGCCCATTAAGAGTCCATAGTGATGAACTCAGGGGCTCACTGTCTCCTACAGTGAATTTGACCAGGCCTTGTAACAAAGGCTGGGCTGAACCCATGTTGCTGATGTGTAGATCAATGTTTGGGTCCCACGCCATACAAAGAGAGCCAACTGGGCAACAAGTTAAGAGGTTAAGTGAGCACATAAACTTAATGGGCCTAAAGCCCAATTTCGAATTGGGTTAATTAGATTAATTAAATAAGGGCGAATCTGGGTTTGGATCAACAGATAAGGATAAGAGGATAAGTCTTATCCACTTAAAGAGTCCAGATCTAAATAAAGATTTGGATCAGGAAACTCCTAATTTGATTAGGATTAAGCTGATCTTAAACTGCAGATAAGGGATTATCCTTATCACTTAAAGAGTCTAGATCCAAATATATATTTGGATCAGGAAACTCTTAATTAGATTAGGAGTTTGTCTCTTTAAGGCTATAAATAAGAGAGCAGGGCGGACATGAAAAACACACTAGATACAAGATAACAATTTGTAGAGTTCTTCCCTGTTCTTGCTGCCCCTACCCAGTTCGATCTCCACTTGTGGGAGTGATCAAGAATTGTTCTTGATATTGCTTCTTGGTAGA